ACATGTCGCACCTCGAGTAGGTGGACCTCTAAATCAGCCCCACCTGATCGACATTGGAAAGAAACCCCCACCAACTCCCAGGTACATTAGGTATCACGTCAAATACATACAGTGTAATCAGTCTGCTTCGACTCATAAACATTACCACTGACAGTTCTCTTCTCTTCTTCTTCATCTCTCCCATTTATCTTCCTCTCGTCCTTAAATTGACGCCGTCGAATTGCCCAAGAAAATCACACACACGTCGTCGCTCTACAACACCGCCAAGATGATGATCAAGTAAGTCGTCATTCTCCCTGTACCCCGCCATAGCAGTCTCGTCGGCGCGACTACGAGATCGAAACAGACGGAGATCGTGAGCTGACAAATGGAGCAGAGTTAGAACCCTCACGGGCAAATTAATCTCGCTCGATGTCGAACCGACGTCCAAGGTAGGCCCCCCTCTTTCTTCTATCTTAACCCGTGTTCAAGATGCGACTGGCACTTACGTCGCATTGCACAACCCTGCCTGTTTCTAAGCAAGCAAACAAACAAATCGATAAACTTGAGTGCTAACAACTTTTATTTCTACAGATCGAGGACGTCAAGAAGAAGGTCGAGGAGAAGGAGGGTATCACACCCGACCAGCAGCGACTTATCTACGGCGGCAAGCAACTGTTCGTCTCCCCTTTCCAACCTACACCTCCGTCACATACGCGAACAGCTACAGCTAACACGGATTAACCTATCTAGACAAGACCAGTTGACAATGCAAGACGCTGGCATTGTCCCGGACGCAACCCTCCATCTTGTCCTTACCCTCCGAGGCGGCCGCTGCTAGACGACCTCCTAGTTAGACGCCTCCTAGACCCGAACCCGAACCCGAACCTACGTCGCGTGCTCACACACCCCTTGCGACATCGGTCGACACAACCTCTTTCCAGACTTCTAGATAGTTCACTGTGCTATACCACGTTCGTGCCGAGAACTCACAGGACAAAGCAGCATGAGTTCAGGAGACTATGCCTGCAGCGGAGCAAAGGGAATGCTGGTAATACGACTTCTGGAAGCTTTTGCATAAGTTCTCTCACGGCCCCTCTCCCCCCTCAGCAGAGGAGAGAACTTCTCATTTTTTCTCTCAATAGATGAGGTTGCATTGCGAAGAGCCATCTGCAGTTGATAATTCCACGGGGTGGATGCACCCTTTTAGTAGATTCCCAAATACAGACGAACATTCATGAACGCCCACATATTACTTTGATTGTGAGCTTTAGAGAAACATAAGAATATGAACTCGGCAACCTAAGTAAAGCGTATAGACCCTAGGAGCACTTGGAGGCCCCATACAACACATCTAGTCTCATTAAATGGTCTTCTCAAGTAGAGCAAAACCTGAACCCTGGTTTAATATTCTCCTAATGCCATCAGGGGTGCCCTAGGACGCCCAACTTGTTAGAAACCAGACCCAGAGTGATTTTATGGCGTTACTTGCTACTCCTCCCTAGAGCTTTGGAGTTTTACGATTTCGGTCTCAATGCTACGTAGAGTCCAAGAAGACGGCATTAAATTTTTGCAATAGAACAGTTTATTACAGGCCTTTATAAAAGCCACTGAGACTGTGAGCCTGTGCCTGTGCCTATACCTATGCATATTGTACGAGTCCGGAGCTAACGGGTTGCATGAATGTGTCTCAACCCCAATAGGTTTCACTTTGCTAGCAGGCTGACGCACCTATATGCCAGACACTTGATGCATTTCCATCACGATATCAATAATACCGGGAGGAGTGCAGACGAAGTTGACATATATAGTATTAAGTCGGCTTTCCTAGCGTCCTTGTGAGCGGCTCCTAGTACAATTCCGTGATACAATCCCTTCAAATGGGTCCCTACCGTTCCAATACGCCCTCTCATGCATGCCATTCCAACGTGTGAGGCCTCACACTCATTAGAAAAAGTCGTAAAAAAGGCGGTGCAAAAGTTCCAGGATCATGTCGACTATGCCTCCCCCCCTTTAGATCTTCCCTTAGAGATCCAGACCGTCCTAGAAATAGTAAAAAAGAAAAAAAATAGTTGATGTGTCGTAGAAGTGGTGTGTAAAAGGTACAATGAAGGTATTCGAAGGTAGTCATCAAGTTCGATCATTGGGCTCTTCTCGACGCTTAAGGCCAAAGATCATAACGGAGAGTTTTGCATGATAGCTCGATGATCATGAAACCAGCGTTGGGAAGTGAGGTCGTAAAAAGGGGTATTAGAAAAGGTGCATCAGAGCTCACTACTAGGCAGTCCTCTGTAGTGTTACAATCCCGCACTCCACATCCAATGTGCGAATCTCTTCACCCACGCACCTCCTAGGACATTCGTCGAGCCTTAGGCTTAGGCTTCATGAATATGCTAGGTGCCTCCTTGCGTTTCTGTCCTATCATCACTGGCTTCGGCTTGGGGTCTGCACTTGAGCTACCCGCGGCATTGGCTGCAGCCCCGGGTAAAGGAGGATGAGAAAGCGGCGAGGCCTGCTTCAGCGGCATTGAAGGTCGTAAAGGTGGGCTGAGCGCATTGGAAGACTTCGGTGCTGTTGATGGCGATGCCGTCGGCTTTGAAGCTGGCTTCGACGGAGATGTCTCGATGGGCTCGAGTCGCGTGGGTCGGTTCTTCCATGAGTGGCCCATCTTCATCTTGGCGAGGCCGGACAAGTTAGACAAGCCAGGTTTAGCTGTGGATGAGGCCGGCGCTGCTAATGAGGTGCTTTTGCCCTGTTGTGGCGTCGTGGGACCCTTGGTCGGCTTGGTAGAAGCGGGTGTGCTGGGGTTCTTTTCGTCGAACAAGCCCTCTAGACCCTCGACGGTCAAGCCTCCTGATTCGCCATCCGAGTCATAATCAGAGTCAACGTCTTCTTGCGCCAGTAGATGTTCATCTGAAAGCATCGTCATTTCCTTCGAACTAACTCCGCTCTTAGCCTTGCGCAACCTTGCCTCACGTTCCTTCTGCTCGCGGTCATAGCGAGCTCCAACAGGCCTAGGGGGTGCTTGGATGGCCCTCGCAAAAGGTCTTGACTTGTTCTTGTGTTCCTCCACCATGCCCATGGGAGCACGGGTGATCTGGCCCTGCGGAACCACAAGCTGGCCGGTTGGTGTCGCAAGCTGATATTGACGGCTCATCGCTCTGGCTTCTCTTCGGGCCTTCTGTATGATGCTCTGGCCCGATGTTGTCCTCGATCGAGACGCGCCAAAGCTCTGTCCATGGAAACCACTTCCATTTCTGCGCTGACCCGGAATGCGGCCGTGGACTCTTGCGTTGAAGTTCATAACTTGAACGGCCTTGGCCTGCTTCTCCTTCTTGAGTTGGTTGAAGCCATTGTTCAATTGAGCAGCCGCCTTCGCCTTCAGTTGGGCATCTTCGGCCTTGTACGTCTGGTAGACTTTACTCCATAGAGTAGGGTTGTGAGGCGCATAGTTGCGCTTCTTGGCTAAATGGGGGAAGTCTCGGTTGATTAGGCGTTGCCAGCATTCGGCCGTATCTCCCCTGAGGTGCGGTGATTTCTCTTCCAACTCCTTAAGTTGTGCAGGGTTTTCGATCTTGAGAAGGACTGGACGGATAACGGAATAGGGCGCGCCACCTACATCCCATAACTCTGAAGAGGAAACCATGGTGTTAGCGCTATCTTCAAGATGGACAAGAGAACCAATTAAAAGTAGGTAGAAATGGATCAAATGAACACGTTCAAGCATGCAGAAATAGAGCGTAAATAAGTTGAGAGAGTCGGTGGAAGACTGGCCATTACACGTAAAGGCATGACAATGCATGACCGTCGAGAGTAACAAGGAAGAGTGAACAAGGAAGAGTGACTGGGGAATAGTTACCTCGGATGTTCTTAATGCACACAGCGATGCATAGCTCCGCCAATGACTTGACCATTGTGACTTCGAGCTCAGGTTGCAATAAATGGACCGATTAAGTGTTGGTTTTACCTATTCAAGCGAATGATTCGGAACCGGTTCGCAAGTTCCAGATGCTATCGAGTCCGGAGTATTATTTATATACCGGGAAAACACACGAGTACCTGGCTCATGAAGAATCGGTATTGGGGGTAAGGTGGGGTCTGAACCGACCGGCCGATACGCTTTTCGAGGTTCCAGGCTGCCACCTTAGGCTTTGGTGTACTATTAGAGGTCGTGAATGCTGATGGGGATGCGTCGTTGCCTGCGAGACTACACGCATTCGAATATTCGAATACCGAATACCTACTAGCGACTATCCTGGTGACTGCAAAATCTTTCGTAAAAGAGGCAGTTTCCTTCCAAGAAATAGATTGCAGAAATATATGCAATTTCCTATTCTAGGGACTGCCACGTAATGATGGTTAAAGCAATGACAAGTCGTTGTTGCTGGTATAGTCATTCGATCAGCCAGGTGAATCGAGTTTATCGGGAAAGAGCAGTCGCCGTCCACTAATGTGGGAAGACCGTATCGCCAGTAATAAAGGTACACTAAACAGCTTTGTTATATTATACTTCAAGACTAAGGAAGTGGCTCTGTTTGATAGCCAACGCATTGTAAGTATGTATGCTTCATATAAGGACTCAAGGTGAAGTTGTAGTTACGAAGTTGCACTTGAGGCTGACACGTGGGTCGCTGATCTGCGATACTAACTTTTATTTGGCAGCCCTGCGGATGCAGACCTACGGTATTTTACGGCTTTATGTATTATACGTTCTAATCATATACGGCCACAAAAAGAAATCGGTCACCGTACGAAACAATATTTGACAAGGTCCACACACTGGAGATAATTGCAGATTCTATACTGACTTAGCATACGAAGTTAGCTCCATTCGTCCTATTTGTAACAGGAGTTTCAACTACGTATATGTAGAGTCCAAGTAATAAGAGTTGACATATACCTAAATATCAACCCCGTACGTTCTGAACCTAGTCAAAGCGTATTGTTCGCAGTGTGGAATTCTTAACAACAATGCTGCTACATATAGCAAAGATGAAGCAATCAGACAATATTTCAATGAAGCTATCTTGGCCGAGTGGTCTAAGGCGGTGGTTTTAAGTAATCTTAGATCTATCTTGAACACCATTATCGAGAGATGCGCAGGTTCGAACCCTGCAGATAGCAAGCCAACAAGTTATACTTTTTATGATTTTATCCCAATCTGCACGATTTTTGCATATGGCACAATGACGGGACTATAAAAGAGCCCAAGTACTGCAGAGTCTAATGAAGATAGATGACTCCCTTAACTAGTCATTTTCATATCAACACTCACTATAGAAGGTCCAATCACGAAGACAATATTTTAAGAATCGTAATAATTTGAATTCTTCGCAAGAACAGGGCTTTACGATGTATTATTTCGCTACGCCACCGTTTGTCAGGCCCTGCTCCATGACAATCATCTAAAATAGACCGTAACACGAATGCAATCGACCCTTCTTGAATCAAACGAAAACCCCACCGTCATGATTTTGACAACCAAAATACCCGCAGCTGTTGGTATCTTCCTTACCTCCGTATCCGCCGTACGCCGTGACGCCATTAGACCATGTGGTCAGAACCCGCAAGAATGTCCATCAAGTGCCGAGAAGTTTATACATGAACCATTACTTTGTCGTGCCATTGCATTTCCTCCCAGTTACCTAGCAATAGGCGATCACGCCGCAGCAGCTACAGCTCGAGAGGGCGTTGCGATGGCAGGCTCTGGTTGATCAGATTGTGGCGCTTGTTCTTGGTTGGCGATTTCTCCGCCGGCCTCAGTCTCGGCCCAAGCGCCCCAGAGACCACGCTTTCCCCGGACTCGAATAGGACCACCGAGTACGCCTTCCTTCTGTTCAACTTTGATGGCATCTTTAGTTGCCAGGACTAGGCATTCAAAGAACATCTTCGTGGCATCCGCTTTAGATGTTCTTCCTTCAGGCAAGAGGTCTTGGAACACTACTGACTTCTTCCGTTTCTCTTCGTTAGTAGCTGCTTCAGAACCAAACAGATCTCGAAGGACATGGACCGCATGTTTTGTGCCAAGAGAGACGGGGCCGCTATCGGCGGGATGTACTAAAGGAGCTGTAGTCTCGTCGAACGCTGGCATCGGGCTTCCTTCGCGGGCTTGATGATCATCGTCATCATGCTGTATGACGGTGTCATCGGCAGGGATCTCAAGGATCGTGCCATCGGGGGCAACACTTTGTTCGCCTACGCCTGCATCAGGTATAACTAAACCGTCGTCGTCACCCAAGTCTAAACGAGGTGATTTAGATGCACCATGTTCCTCTTCCTCTCCAACGTCAGCAATTCCGCTGTCTCTCTTGCGCTTGAGATCATTAATCGGTCTTATGGATTCAAGAGATAGCAATCCTCTGAGCTCAGGAGCCCAACCTTTGCTACGACCGTCGCCCATGATACTAGAAACGAAGCTACCACTGGCTTTCAATTCGACCAGAGTCAGGAAGTATGGATCTCTTGAGATGAAGGTAGGAGCCTTGAGAATATTCTCGTGGTTCTGTTGTTGTTCTTTGATGTGGGCACTGGTTAGCTGGGTAGCTGGGTCTAAGCCAAAGACCTTGCGCTTCTTCGACTTCTTCTGAGGTAATGCTTCGGGTTCCTCAGGCTCCTGACCCGGCTCGTAAATGCTGGTGTTGTTCAGACGCGTCCATTCTTCCACATCCCGCGCTATATTCTCATCGATATCTGAAAGGGGTGATTCCGAAATTCGGGCACGGTCCAGACCAGGGGCACCGCCCATCTCGGGTACTACTGACTGGTCACCAATATTGAATTGGAAATCATCGTCCATTTGGATGTCACCATCTCCGTCCGCGATCCTAACAGTATCGTCTCCGAAGTCGAGAGCTAATGACGGTTCACGTTCGGCGCCTTTGGCCGGTGGCGCAATATCCAGTTCACTAAATATATCATCCTCCACAGGTCGAGCAGCTGGCGCGTCTCGACCCATCTCAATGCTCTTATCCATTCGCGGTCGCTCATCGATATCCATTCCAAAGTCAAGATCTAGCTCCAAGTCATCCATAGGAGCAAGCGCGACCTCGTCCTGATCCATGTTGTCATCTTGCAAAAATTGGCTGTTGTTGAAGTCTTCTTGTAAGTTAATATCGCGATTACTAGGTCGACCCCGACCCCTAGTACCTGAGCTAACAGGAGTAGCGTTCACATCTTCCATCTGTCCTAGAAGCCAGTTGGCGTCTGGCGGTGGTAAGATGTTTAGGTTATCGGCAGGCGTAATACGATCGGGAAGCATCAACGCTTCCCGATTCGGCATATTTAAATTTTCGGGAATATCATTGTTTCCAGTAGAACGAAAAGCCTGAGACGACGATTAGCAAAGTGGCATACAGGGCCATTCGGTAGGCGACGAACCATTTTTATCTTGAGCAAAGCCTCATTGCAATCATCTAGAAGGTAGCGAGCTTTTCGACTATAAATTCTAACAACACCAAGCAAGAGCTGACCGCTCAACCGGAGCGCCATCGGCGCTTGGTTCGGTGTGATGATAGCATCGACGCTGTCGGGAAGATTAGATTGCAGAATATGGGTTTTAGAAAGTTTGCGCTCTAAATTTGCCGACAGCCAGACTCGAGCCAGAGGCCCTGTCTTCTGCAGCAAGGTCTCAGAGTAGAACATCGCGGCAGCGATGACGAAACCGTTTGAGGGAGCAGGAAGTCAAGGCGATAAAGCAATGGAAAGATAGCGCTCAATTATTTTGACATGAAAGCAACGTCGCCTGTTTCGGAAGATGCGACAACGCGTTCGAGTCAGTTTCTAGGTAAGAGGTGATGACGAAAGGTGGGAGGCGTCCGGTGGTGTAAACAATAAAGGATAGGGAGCGCGTTGTTTTGGGCGCAGATCGCGTAGAGTCAAACCACCGACTTTGGCCAGTTTACAACCCGTAATTCAATTAGCGCGCATACGATACGAAATATTTCCTGTGTCGCGCGTAAATGGGATTAAAAGCAAGAGCAACAGCAAGTATATATCGACGGGGATGGCGATTGTTTCTGCAGGGTCGGAGAGAACAAATGGGTTGAATGAAAGAATGAAATTAGAGGTGGAGGGGGAATCTTGGGGGAACTGCGAATGGAAAAAATGCTGCGGGATTGGGCAGTCCACAGGCCGAAAGCGAATGATTGTTGAAGAGAGGGCGACTAAAAAAATATCATCCGCTTTCCCTGCTAAAATCCAAGTGGCTGGAAAGTAAACCCGTACCTGTTCCAGTGTACATGTACATGTGGTCTGTGTGGTCCATGTGGCCATTTGTGGCTGAAATATATGGTTGTGGCTGAGAGCCATAAGACATTCCTGCCCCTAAACCCTGTATCGCAACGGGTTTATTTAACCCTGAAACTATCGTGATAAGTAGCGTTTACCTAATAATGAATTTCTATAGGATCCTAGGTCGACATCATAAACATCTGCAAAAATCAAATAATGACACAATCAAAAGGCTGAGAGTAATGCAGCCACAGCGCCCCTTGCACGACAAGGAGCAGGATCTTGCTTTAGCGCGCTAGGATGCCAAGTACTTATGTATGTGCTAACCTAGCAACAGGTATGTATGTCGAAAACGGATCGCGAAACGGTTCAACGAGCTACGAGTTTTGATCTTGATAGCCCTAAAACGTCTGCTAGAAACATCTTACAGCCAGAATATATTTACCGTCCAGAGAGGCAATAATGCTAAATAAATGTAGGGGTCAAATGCTACCAGTTCGAGCGTAATAATCCGCTCGTTCGAGACATGGCGCAACATCACTCGTGTCGCAGCACCAACAGGTCCTGTCTGGGCGCGTTGAATTTATTCTCTTGCTGTTGGTCCTGCTCTGGGATCAACTTATCCTGAGTCCATAGTTCAACTTTTGTAGGCACTACGTTAAATCAACTCGAGTTTGCCTAATATGTTATATCGTCTAGGCAGGTTATTCTCTACTCAACGTGCAACAAACAAATCTGAGATCGAGATGGTTGACATAGGGGAGAGGGAGATTTCATTTTCCGTAACGATCATAAATCATGAAGGGAGAACTTGAATTAAATATCTATAGGTAGATACCTATTAGTTTTTTCCTACGTTTTATTTAGAAGAGCTTGAAAGTCTTGTAGGGTTCAATGATTTTTAATGCTTTAAGAACTTCCTAGGAAGTCGTATTGCGTAATCATACTTATCTGACTGCCGCATTTACGGGGACCCAGCCCGTCTGAGACTGCCCGATCAATCCTCTGTAGCTTAATGCTATCCCACTAAGCTCCAACGGATCCACTTCTTCCAGATGCGCATTTGGCCAAAAGTTGCCAAGTTCGATTTTCTTTAAACCGTTTCCCAAACACGTCACTCGATTCATATCCTATTTTGCTAATATACCTTCTTCCACTTCTTCATGTTCATCGCGTAGATATTGTTTTGTTTTATTCGAAGTTCTTAGTGCTGTCCTAGTCGTTGATGTTCCTTGACTCCCTCCATGCGGCACTGCGTTCCCGTGGTTCGCCCGTCGATACCCTTCGAAAATGCCATGGCCGTGGCGCGATCGCGAGTCCAACGGCGAGTCACTGCTTCCACTATCGGTTCCCAGTATCAATGGAATAGATCGAGATTATGATCAAAATGGAGACGAGTTTGTCGAACGTTCGCGATCGACTACTAGAAGGCCTGGGCACGTTCGGACCACATCTGCTCAGTCACGGGTAAGACTTCCTCAGAGGGCGCCTCAAACGATAGGCCAAGTATTCCACGAGTCTAAAATATACGGCTAATATAATTTGTTATCGTAGTCCATAGCCGATGGATATTCCTTCTTAACGCCAGCAGAGACAGCATCTCAGCTTCGGACCTCCTTAACACACGGCCTTACACCTACCGAAGCCCTCTCACGACTACGAGACTTTGGCCCAAATGAGATTCCTCACGATCCCCCAGATCCGCTATGGCTGCGATTCATAATGCAATTCCGAGAACCCTTGATTCTCCTACTCCTCGTGTCCGCATTCCTCTCGATCTTCGTTGGTAACATGGATGATGCTATTAGTATTACCATAGCTGTGACGATAGTCGTCACTGTCGGATTTGTACAGGAATATCGATCCGAAAAGTCGATTGAAGCTCTCAATCATCT